TTATATTTAAAAAATATTTAAAGTGTATATATATACTTTAAAAATATATATATAGATGGGTTTGAAGTATTTTGAGTAAGGCAATTCTATGCTTCAGGTATGTGGTTAAAGCACATATGCACATGGAAGCTCTAATCGGGTGGCTGACTAATTGACTAATGGCTAACGCATCGCAGCTGTGGGTAGGTGTAGGCACTGTTCAAACACAGCAGCTCTGGCAGCCCTGCTAGAGTAACTGAAGCTTTGACAAACAAACAATAGCAGTGGTTCTGGTGTATTTCAGGAAGGAAATTTTTTTCTGTGAGTTTTTTTTTGTGGTTGGAAGTTTAAATTAAGTTATTCTCTTGACAGAAGGGAACAAAAAAAAGTCTTCTTTTTAGTCTTTCCAGTGAAGCTAAATAAACAAGTCTTTTTTTCCCCCAACCTTTCAGTATGTTAATGAAATCTCAGTGGGTGATAGAGAAGTACAACGGTGAGACAGAGATACCGATGTGCTAGTCCTAGTTCTTGGAACTTTCTAAACTTTTTGTTTGTATGGAGATGTACTGCTCAAGCAACAGATAAAATCTAAAAACATATTTTATTTACATCAGTAAAGCCAGTGTTAGTCACTTCAGAACTTAAAGTGTCACAGTTAAGTAGAATTCTTCAAAATACAGAAAAACCTATTTACAATGATACTCTTCTATAGCATGATATGTTAATCCTCTTGATCATCATACTAATTTAATACAATTATATTAGTCCAATCTTAGTAAAATACTGCCTATTCCTGTACTACAAAAATCCCTTAAATATATAACTAATTGGTTTGCTTGTATACATTTCTTCAGATATCCTATGCCAAATTGCATGAAATTTAAAACTGATTTCTATATTTGTCCAAATGTCCCTGACAGCAAAGAAAAGGTACATTTAAAACTGGTTTCTGAATCCTTGTCCTAACAATAATGCAGTAGAATCCCATTTTTATGTCATAAAATAATACTTACAGTGCCTTAGCGTTTCTCATAAAATTAAAGTGGCTGAAAGCACCAAAACAGGCATGGAAATGCTTTTAAGAAAATTCTGATTGATTAAAAAAAAAAGCTTAGAACCAAGGCTGGAAATATAAGCAAAATGAAGATAAACAACTGCAAAAGTAGAAGCACAATGAAAGGCACTATTGTCATTCTTCTTGCTTTAGAGGAAGGGAAAAGATGCATTTAGGAACTAAATGGATTGCACTTTGAGTTTTATTCCATGTAAATCAGATCAATAGATAATATTCTCTGGAGTCTTTTGGGAATGTGTTACAGCGCTGCAGAAATGCAGTCAATTTGATGTTAACACCAAGGCGATGGGAACTGTCATGACTACAGCCAGAAAGAGCAGGGTGAATATTATATCAGCAGACCGGGACAATTTAAGGCCAAAACCTTTTCTCCCAGTACTTTAAAATAACCACCCTACACTTAGTAAGGATCTACAGTTCTACTTTGCTTTTTTTGCATCCTCTAGTGCAGTGGTTCTCATCTAGGGCTCTGTACAAGGGTGTTCCCCCCCAAAAAAAGGGAAACTTTCCCCCCAAATCCAGCAGTATGTAAAACCAAAGGTTCCACAGAAAATGCACCCTAACAGCAGATCAGCCCATGCCCTGCTACATTTCTGCTTTCAATTATCTGCCAATTAGCATTTGCTTTATTTACACTAATTGCATCCTTCGATTCTGGGATGGAACAGAGGGGGCCCTCCTGAAAGGAGGTCTGTAAGGAGGAGCCCCAGCTGGAGAGGGCGAGGGGGAGGGTCTGTGCTGAGGTATTCGGGACGGGGGCGCAGCGCCTTGGCAGGCGCTGGTACAGTTTGAGGCAGGCAGGCTTTGGGAAATGGGGGGTCACAGTGCGTTCCGCTCAGATGATGCCACTTTCTGGAGTTCTCTACCCCCCCTTGCCCTCTGCCTCCTTCCCGCTGTCCTGGGGTGGACCTCGGGGCTCCGGAACCGCGGCCCCCAGCCTCTCTCCCCAGCCCCTTGGGGCACCGTACTGAGCCTCCATCTCCTCCATCCACGCCGTGCTCCAGTCCCACGCCGGCAGGGGGGCCCGCTCCCCGAAACAGGCCTCGTAGGGGGGGGGGAGCCCACTCAAGGGCGAGGCGGGGGGGGAGAAATCTGGGGGAGGAGGGGAAAAAAAAAGGTTGGAATGAATCCGTCTGCCGGTTGTTCCATTCACAGACACACTGAGGCTACTTCACACACGCTGTACAAGCGGAGGAGCACATGCAGAAAGACTCAGGCAGACTTTAGGGGGGAGCGGAGATGGATGAAATTGCGTGGAGACAAGTGCACAGAGTTACACGCAGGTGGCAAACTACAGAGTAAAGACGGGAGATGGATTTAAAAAGCCACCCATGAGAGGAAGAAGGTTTTTCGATATTGATGAGTTTCCCCCTCTAGACCATGTGGGGGAGCAATAAAAAAACATATTACAGGCTGTTCAGATCTGTAGTTATAAGCAAATTTGAAACGAGCCTGTTGCTGAAATTGTACAGTGGATTTGTAGAAGGTCAGTTACAATATTGTATTCACCCTTGGCTGCAGAACACAGCGCTGAGGTATGTTGTCAGGCTTGAAGGAATGTATCACACTAACTGGCTTAAATAACAGAATCTATTAAGCTCTGAAAACTACAAGGGATTGTTTCATCCTACATGAGTATATGACTGTTCTGGCTGGGCTAGTGCCCAAGCTAGATGAGCTTTATTTCTATTTTCGATTACAAGCCTTCTTATGACAGTATAAAAACATTTTCAAAGAAAAATAATGAAAGCTTTTAAATCATTCTCTGCGTCGATTTTATCCTTGTGATGAAACTGCGTAGGGTTAAAAACAAGCAATAAATCAAATAAAGACACGAAGGATAATTGTATAATTTTTTATAATGGATTAGGAGAAGCTTTCTATCCCTGAGTCATTCTCCTGTTAGCTGAGAAGGTGAAAGCGATTTTCAGAAACTGATTAGTAGCCCATATACCCACCTCCCCCACTCCAGTAAAAAAAAGAAATGCTTTAGGAAATATTTAAAAAATGGGGGGGGAATGAATAAATGAATTAGGCAATAACATTATCTTAAGTTTCATGCTCCAAAACCTACCACATACCATAATGTCACTGTTGTGACAGAACCACGACCGCACATGTTTATTAGGATTGTTATAGTTCTAGTTGTTAGGATATTTAGCAGAAGCTGAAGAGCAGTTTCAATGGCAGTAGAAGTGTTAATTTTACAGGCTGGAAACTAGCTCGGGAAGAGGCAGCAGATCCCTTTGGTTCAGACACTTTGATGGATTAGGAGGCGCTGAGCTGTAGCTGGTTTGCCAGCTTGTCTCCAAGCTGCTCACCGTCTTCCCTGTCAGGGCTGAAGACGGAGCAAAAGATAGAGTTTGACCCCAATCAGATCACATTCCCTGGCAGGTCAGTTTCACAGACCACACAAGCACTAAGTACACTAGCCCACTGGTCTCGAGGGCGCTGCTCGGATGGTGTTCATTCAGGGCTGAATGTGTGAGCTGCGTAATAAGACCTGCATCACATGAAGTCACTCTACAACTCTGGGGCAAGACATAGTTCAAATCACACATATTCTCCAAAGACAAAGAAGCAACAGCACCCCTGACAGGTGGAGATGAAGAAAACTCCACCTTCATAAAAAAAGGAGCAAGAGTGAACACCCTTCCTTTTTCCAGAAGATAATCAAGTCAGATTATTTATTTAATTATCAGCTTTCAAAGCTGCAGTTCTGGTGGATCTTCAGAAATGCATACGCAATGCAAGCTTACGCAGCAGATGATAAATGAGGCCATGTTACAGGTTTAGAGCTGGAAAAGACTGGGGGATCTAGAGAAGGTGCTTATTCTAAATGCATTGATTAATAGGTGCTCACCAATGTCCTCTCCTGATTTTATCTGTTAAATTGCATAACCTATCAGATTTCATTTTAAATTAAAGGTAGCCATGCAATTATGACTCTCGGTGAACCGTGTTCTGTTTTTTACAGAAAATAGAAAGAAGCATTTTAGCTATATTAGCAATGATTGTTAGTCCCAAAAGTGTCTGGAAAGTACACAGTTGGCCAAAAATACCAGCCTTCAGCACCGCAAACATTCAAGTCTGCAGTAAATTGATTGATTTAGTCAATGTGAAGTTTTTCAGTGACCAACTGTGACCAGCAGAGCTCCAGAAAACATGGAACACTCTTCTGCACTGATTGGGGAAAATGGAAGGCAGCTCTTGTGTAGCACGTTCTGAAATTGATACTTCCTTGGTGGTGACTTGTATTAAGAACACAACAAGAGAAAGGTGCAGACTCTCTGAAAAAGGAATACATCCGTATTTGATTCATCCATACAGAGAGCTCTTGCAACCCTTTTTAAAGTCACTTATACAGATGTTTTTTTTTTCATCTCTGTCTCTTAATGCTCACACAAGGATTTAGCTATTGCAGCCGTCATGGGCTGCCCTACATTACATATTTCCAGATTGAATATTAAAACTGAAATCAAATAGGATTATTTATACTCTTGCAGCCAGATAACACAGCATGAGATAGAGGCCCAGGCCATATGCAGACCCCTACTGAGGGCAGCAAACGACAAAAAAGAGGTTTGCTTCTGTGTGTTTGTGCTAGAGGAGGGGGTGGTGGGGCTGTTTGAAAAGAAATCAAATTGGGGAAAAAGAAATTACGAAAGCCGAAGTGAAGAATGTCATTGATATTAGGTTGTAGAAGGGATTTTAGAAAAGGAACATTTGGCATTAAAGCCAGACAACATTAAAACGAGAGCTGAAGAGTGAAATCACAGACTATCAGAAGAAAGAGTTCAGAGAAACTGTTTGCTTGGGACATACTGCATTTTCGTATTAATTGCTCTTCAGTTGAGATACTAAATCATTAACTAAACCTCTCCAAGGTGGTATTCCATGGAACTCCTAGAAGATTTGGTGTATTTTAAAGCTAAAACTAGAGCATTTTATTCTATCCCGAAAGCAACTGGGAGATCTCTCTCTTGATTCAATAAAACGGCAAAGCGTCTGTAGACAGTGCTCCCTGTTTTACCACCCCTAGAGTAATCAAATTCAACAGAAGAATCCAACAGAACCAGAAGTCAGAGTATTTCAGATGTTTGTGCTGCCTGTCAGTGTCAGCTGCTGATTTTCTGTCATTGACAAGGGCAAAACAGAACTTTCTGCAAAGGCAAAGCCTGTATTCTCCAGAAGATGACAGCTTCAAGACAAAATGTTAATGTAAACACCAAACTACTGTATTTAGAAACTTCCAGAGAATGGGTCAAAAGTGAACTTCTAAAAATGTACTAAATGTTACAGTAAGTGTGAAATTAGTTTTTCTCTTTCAGAGAAGTTTTCTATGTGCTCTGACTACACTAACATAGAGACCCCTTTCCTGGTACAAGTGTGCCATCTAGTGTAAAATGCCACAAAAGTCGTTCCATAGCTTTGTACACAGTATTTAAATAAAATACTCAGCTACACAGTTTATATGGTTTCAAGACAATTATGGTGTTTGGTAATAAAGTATAAGTATTTTTTATATATGTATTAAGTATGCCTTAGAAGAATCAAGTATTGTACTTTAATACATTATAATTATTTTTTTCTTTGCAATGAACACATTTTACTGACTTGAGCACCTTTCTAATCTTTTTGTAGCACTAATTTTCCTCATTTTAGTCTTTTCGAACATATATTATAAGAGCATTACTATTCACTGATTTTGTTTTCTATGGGGTTAGCACAGACTGCTAATAATATTCCCACATATAGATCCATATCTAATTATTTCTAATACATGTTAAAGAATTCTTTTCTCCCTTCATTTATTAAAATGATTCCCATGTCAACGCACTCCTCTGGGTCTCCAGAAGAAGTTCCCAAAAGCACCTCTTACCAGAAAAAGAACTGCCGCCCAGTGTTTCCGCGGCGACAGCCAGGACCCTGGCGAAGTTGGCATCGTTCATGAAGGAGCCATCCGAGGAGCTGAGCAGGCTGGCACGGGCGCTTGGCGTGTTGCCCCCTGACACGGAGCCCCAGCCATTCCACAGCGAGCCCTCCCATTCGCTGCCACAGGACGAGGGGGTGTGGCAGCGTCTGGGCACCCCCCCTCGAGGGCAGAGCTGGCGCGACCCCGCCAGGTCCAAGTCCAGATCCTCGCTCACATCTTCTGCTTCCAGGTCAGAGGGCAAAGGGCCGCAGATGTATCCAAATGTCGGTGTGGGTGAAAATGGACGAGGTGGTGAAGTCGGACTTTCAGCCAAAGCTCTGCAAGAAAAAAAAAAAGATGTCATTCTGTCAGACCACCAGATACAGAAAAGATTCACAGATCAAGCCTACTGTGTTTAGAATTTAAGTTCAGACGTGAATGAGTGATTGCTATATTTCATCTTGTCTTTCGTTTTCTTCTAGTCAATTTGTTCTTCTGCTGCAACAAATAGTTTTCAGGTTAATGAGCTACAGTATGTCTAGAAGTTGGTAGCCCCCAAAAACCTCATATAGTCTCATATATAATCTGCAGGTCCGAGTTTTAACAACGACAGAAAGTACAAATGACGAACAGTTTACAATAGATGTAAAGGCATATTTACAGATTATATCAAAAGAACACAAGAGCTGTGCAGACTTAATTTGGTTGATCTTTATCTAAAGTGTAATTGTATCATAGTATGTACCCCTGACAATGTTATTGATATACTTTATGTTCTCTTGTTTGTACTGGATGCATTTTTGTTGTTAGAATAATTAAAAAAAAGAAAGTACAAATGACTTCAAGCTGAAGAAACAAGTGTCGGGCAGATCCCCGCTGGTACTGTACCTGTGTCTCTTGACCTTGGGGCTCAGTTCCAGGTACCGAGCCACCTCCTGGTGAGTGAGGGCGCCATCAGTCTCCTCGTCCACGGACAGACAGAAGGAGGCAGTCGAGAGGCGGCTGTAGGAGAGGCTGGGGTGTGAGGGGCAGTCGGCCTTCACCGCCGCTGGGGTTCGGGAAGTGTCTCCTATAGACCGCACGGAGCCCCCGTCCACCGTCAGCCTGGTGGACCTGCTGGATCTGCGAGAAAACCAGCAATTCAGACCCTCCGCCATGCACACTAGGCCGCTAAAAGTCTCTCTGCCCCCCACCCCCCATCTCGAACTACAAAGCCAAATTACTTCCTTGATCTTATCGTATTGAACCACAGGGGGACAATTCCTCCGTCTTTCCCCTCTAACTCGAAGACCAAAATGACTTCCTCAGCTTTTTATCTAACCACAGTGCCCACATCGCTTTTTAATCTATAGCACAGAGCCTAATCACTGTTCTGCAGTTTCCTAATCCATCATCTTTGAGCACTGTGTGAGAGGCATTTCCTGGGCCTCAGCATGCATTCAGTACTTATATCTCCTCCTTACTGATCCTATTGTCTCCCAGCAGCTTGGCTCAGTAGAATCACAACATACTGGAGAACTGCACTGCCTGATCGCTCATGTTCTTCCGAGGTTTATACCTGGGCTCTTACTCCAGGCCACAAAATGTCACAATATTTTACCATGACTCAAACCGACCGTTTCACTGTCGGTGGGGAAAATAACTTTGGAAAACTTAACTAATGTCCAAATAACTAGTGAGGACAAGGAGCTCGATTCAGAGCAAGTCCTTCATGAGGAGTGGGGCTACTTTGCTATGCCAGTGCTTCTGGCAAGGGTCTCGATAACTGTGCGGGGAAGCACGGCGCTGTAGGCAGAAGGAACATCAGGCGAGCCATACGCACTCCTCCTCGGAGCTCAGGCTGTGGGTGTCGTGGTCAGTCTGAGGCAGAGGGGGCAGGGCAGGCAGCATGTCGATCAGACGGAGTGATGCCGAGTAGTGCAGGACCCTCGGGGAACCAGCCAGCTTGGGGCACTCCGGAAGGGCACCTTCAAAACAACAGGTGTACCTCTTTACCAGTCATGTACGGAGGCACAGGGGGACAAGCGTCCCGGAGATGCAAATTAATTCCCCTTGTGTCTTCAAACAAGACCTCAGCATCATAACCCAGTGCCCATTTTCTCTTTTTGTAAATGAAAATGAAACTGATTCCATGAGAAACCAGTAAGTTGTATGTTAAGCATCTAGGCCATCTTTTTCATGAATTTGTGAGCACTGTGCTGAAACTTAAAGGAAAGAACGAACCTCTTGTGGTAATAAAACTGCATTGCAATCAAGAACTTCTACTGAATCACTTTTTTTTTTTGAAGAGCAAAAGCTTTGCCTTGTCAAATAGCTGTCTCGGCCTTTTAATACTACTTTTGTGACGAGAGTGGGACGTCTCGACGATTGCTAGAAAATACTCTTTTTAGGGGTTCCATATGATGCTCCAAGACTCGCTGAGAACATCTGGGAAGCTAGATGAGTGTGGGAAGTTCACTGATGTGGCAGGAAGTGCCTGCTTCCATGGTAACATAGCCAAATTCCTAGAGTTAGCTGAATCCACAGTGGATGAGTGGGAAGTTCACAGGCCCTTTGATATGAGATTCATACAAACTGTACCTCGTGGATGATCAGTCAGTCTCTGTAGGTTTGAAGTGGGCACACTCCTAAGTGCTCCTGATTGCTGGCTTGTAGACACCAAAGGAGCACTGTTGACTGCATGAAGTTCTGTAGAACCACAAGAGCACAGGTGCCTGCTGTGATAACAGCTAGACATGTACAAGTACAAGAGCTGAGTCTTCTTAAACGCAGAATAACAATGTTATCTGTCCCATTGCTTGATATTAAATATCCTGCCTGGACCCATCCATTTGACTGGTTAAAATAAAGATGGAAAATAAATATCTCAAAAGTCACTACATTATTCGATGTGTCAACCTCTTACCTCTCTTATAGTTCTTCTCCCAGGATTCTTTGAGCACACCCATGTTGGGCTGGACAGGAAGGGCCTGTTTCCAAGGTAACACCTGTGTATCTCGGCTGGCACTTGTGTTAAACACCGGCTGAGAGAAACGGATTGGATCCGACACCTTAGGACTGCAGTGTGGGATCTTAGTGCATCGAGCAGGGCTGTTGAATGTCTTCAAACCCGCTCCAGACAAGTCTACATAAAAGGTGCCATAGAGGCCACAGCTATCGGGTACAATAGGGACAGCTGTTTCTTGAGGACACGGCTTCTTTGTTCCCTTTAAAGGTAATGCTGCAATAACAGAGGAGAAGGAAACTCATTAACAAGTGCACATTATTTCATTCAGAACCAAACCTGTACATTTCACAGTGAATCTGCACACTGATTCAGCCTCTTTCTCCTGCCCTCCTCCTCCACTTTCCAATAAGAACTAAAAACATTTTTAGGACCTGTTAATAGTCATACTTCTAATGGACGATTACAAAAACATACATCAGCCACAACAAGCCATAACAGCATTTGAATTTATGCTTCACATTACTAAAAGAATCATTACCGCCTGCATCAGAGCAACACCAACAATGCAGTTTAAGTAGAAATGCAGCATTTTATAGTTCAGCTTTTGTGGGGATTTTAATAAAATGAACCAAAACTGTAAGTGTCTCACATCTTAAACCTTTTTGTTATCTACAGTTTCTAAACCGGATGGCCTAAACAATAAGTTATTGCTCAATCAGCAGACAAAACATGAAGAAAAGTGGAACAATTCACACTCTTCTTTAGTATGAAATCATGAAGAGATAAATGACTGTCTCCACTTCCTCATCTGTTTCCTGTTTTGAGCATTATTTGAATCAGCATCATCACCTGCGTTTTGTTTTGTCTGGAGGACCTTTTGTATTTTATAAACATCATACACATTAGCACTTGAAGGGACACTTACTTGTTCATTTCTGTAACCGACAAATGAGCTATGCTAAGGGCCGAGTAAATGTTAGTGAATTCCTCTCGCATGTCAGGAGGAAGCCTTGACCTCTGCTACTTACTGGTCTTCCTGAAGCCTGGGTTCTCCTGGCTCTGGGCCCACAGCCCAGGGTAGCGCTCGGAGCAGGGGGCAGATTTCCATGCACTGGAGATCCAGGGGGAGTCTGGCACTGCCATTCTGCAAAAGAGCCCACAGTGAAACACTAGACACTTCACATGTGTGAGTTTGCACAAATGTTACAATGCACGAATGCAGTTCGATCAGGTCCACAGGAAGCACGCACAAAGCATCCAAATTCCAGTTCCCGCACTCCCACTAATTATTATTCAGTAATTAAGGCAAAGAAGAGGCAAGATTCACATAAGAATAGTGTTTTTAGTGTGTAGAAGTGGAACGTGGTAAGCACGGATCGAGTTTGGAATTTAACGCAAATTAGTGTCACTTAAAGGGATAAAGCACCAGAGGGTGAGGTGAGATACACCAGACACACGGAGAAATGCATTAACAACACATATGCACGAGGTTATTAAGGACCTGTCATCACCTGTGTGAAGCCAGACTCCCAGTATAAGGATTTGGTGTGTGAATAGTCCGGGTGGACTCAGGGCAGTCGGACCCTCACTGCCAGGCTTGGTGAGGGAGTAACACGGGGAGCTAGACCCTGACTGTTAAGGGGACAGTTAATAAGATCCATCTAAACCCCGGAAGGGGGCAGGTTCAGAGCCAGTCCCACAGGGGGATGGAGAAGTGCTGCAGACATGTTGAGTTAAGGGAGAAAAGACGGACGTCTTGCGGCGAGGCGCCAGCTTGTGACCCCTCAGGTTCGAGCGAGACCTGAGCTAGGCAAAGACCCCATGGTTAGGAGTGAATCCCTAACAGATAAGCTAGCAGCCTCGGCTGTTTCAGTGTTGGACTGCCAGTAAATAAGAAGGTGGTAATAGAGCAGACCGACCTAAACAGAATCGACCGGTTTGAAGTTATTTCCACTACTTCTGATTTGAGGTCAAAGCCCTGTTAAAAACGGCAACTTCAGTCCGAGCGCCAGACTAAAACAGATTTCCCCCCTGCTCAGCCAGCACCCAGGGGGATCTGCTACAAATGTGCCTGCCATAACTCATACGCCTCAATTATATTTAAAACTCAAGTATTTTCCTGAGCCCAAGTAAGTAAGTCACAGTAGAAAATATTTTGTATCAGTGTTTATGTGTAGGTTCAGTAGGCTGATTAGGGTTTGACTATTTGGTCTTGAAAGTCCAGAACCTAAAATGTGGATCTGGTTTAGTTGTTTTGGGTTTTTTTTTGCTCACAAGAATCCAAACAAAGCAAGCTACAGTATACAACGGCAGTCGAGCTCAGGTGATGAAACACTGTCCTGTACCAGAGTTTGTTAATAGTTTTTAAGTAGTTGCAGAGATTCTTTTTATTATTCAACATCTCTTATTCTCTTTTTTTTGTTTTTCAACCCTAGTTTCTCAGTTACCTGTGTTTGATGATGAGGTCCTCACTGGCCAGTCTGTACAAGCCTGAAAACAGAGACATAATGAGGAAAGAAACGCTCCCCAAACAACTCTTTGTTTCAGCTCATACATTTTCTGCTCTTAATTAAGAGGCTTCCTAAAAGTAGTAACATTTGTTGAGAGATCTACTGAAAGTGTAACCTTACAGTTCAAGGTTGCAAGTTTTAATAACAACGTGTCCTTGCTTTGTCTGCTTGATGTCTGGTTTGTATTCAGTCAGACCTCCATTGTGTTAACACTAGTGCCAGTCTGTTCAGTGAAACAAATCCTTTTTATGACAATGCATCGTTTGGCACCAACACTGTTAGCAGAAACATTAGTGCACAATCCAATTAAACATTAAGACTACATCTCATCTTCTTCTTTAGTACTCTGTGGTGCTATGGGTGATACAGTATATCCCAACTTTCTGACCTGCAGCTTGGCGATGGGCGTGTTTCAGCTCTGTGTTCCTCGAGTGGCGACGGTACAGACACACCACTGAACCCATCAGGGCCACCCAGAGAAGGGCACCAGCACTGCCAATGAAAATGGGGCCTCGCACGACCCCCAGGACTTGCTCCATGGCAGTTTGGCTGGGAGGTTTTGAAGTTAAGGCCTCTTGGGGCTCTGGGGGAGACAGAATGCATTCACTTCAATACTCAGTGTAGAGCTACTAATGAAATCTTAAGCCGAATAACACTGTCCAGTATGTAAGCATGTCTATGAACCTTCACAAAGAATCAAGATCCTAAACAAAGAGATGTGTTCTGAAAAAGAACAGGAATCCCAGAGAATATCAGTTTTGTATTATGCTATCTCACAAAAATATAGGGATGTAAGTAAACAATTGTGAAGAAAATGCTTGGTAACTCTCATCTGCATAAACTAGTAAAAAACATAAAAGATGTGGATATTTAAAGATAACAGGTATTCTGTCATTCCGAATCCAGTTTAAAACGTTAACCTTATCCTTATCAATCCTAATTTAGGAAGACCATGTCATATACAGATATATATACAGTATGGACAGAAAAGGTCTCTATTTTTCATGCGTTTTCATATCTGGTGTTTGTTTTTAATAGTGACAGAACATAATACACGAGTGATACAACATGGCTAGAATTTAATTCATATATACATTAGAAATGGTTCAGAAATGGCCATTTTGTTAGTCCTGAGAGCTACACTGTATATACACTGTATGGATGATTCTGGACCCAGGATGATCTGATGTGACGCTGACCTATGAAGAGGCTATGGGGTTCACTTGGCACCCCAACTCCTGCTCCATTGAGAGCTGCCACTCTGATCCAGTACTGTGTGCCAGGCTCTAGTGACCCCATCTCCAGGCTGTGAGTCCCACTGTCCACTGTCCAGTTGGAGGACTGATGACCCACAGAAAAGGAACACCAGACCTGAAACAAACAAACAACATTGATATATTAAAATATCTGATATAGTTAATCATTTTCTTTGAATAATAATTTTCCAAACGAGCACTTTGGCCCGGCAATAATTGTCCTCTCTCCCTTCCTCGCCTACCCTTCTCTATGGTTTTCACAGAATGGTGCTTCAGTATGAAAACAATAACATTAATGGTTAATTATTTTGAGTTATTTGCTTAAAGTCATTAACAGATGCATAAAATTAGGAAAGAAATTCACTTCAGCTCATTTATGGTTCGGTACAATATTAACATCATTTCAGTCAATAGCAAACGTGTGAACATTAGGTGCTAGTCTGCACTAAATGCATTTAACACGAACCTTTAATATTACAAATACAGTAGTTAAAAAAATATTTAAAAATAAAGGAAATTCTCTATCTGGGAAGATGTGAAGAAAGACGAATTTTGTCAGTGTTTTACGAGAGCCCAGATTGTGAGGGTGAAAAGCTGCCCCTTAAATTAAATATCGGGTAGAAATTCCAACCCTTCTTTCAAACGAAACCCCGCGTAGTGTTTGCTCGAACAGCGAGGGAGCTCTGTGGCGGAGGAGCTGTTACCTGGTAGCCCCTGATGATCCCATTGTGAGCCTCATGGGGAGGCGGCTCCCAGCTCACCTGAGCTGTATCATTCCTGCCCACCGCCAGCATCACAGAGATACGCTGAGGAGGGGCGCTGGGGACTGAGAGAGCAGGAGACACAATCGCGGGGTTCATTCCTTGTTCTCTTGTTTGTTCTTTGAGACAGAATCCAATCGATCCCTTTTTGCCAAAACCTCTTTGTCATATCATAAAATCTACCATTCCATACAATGCCAAAAGTATTCATACTCATTGCAACTGAATTTTTAAATGAGCTATCATATAGTATAGTTGAGGGAGCTCACAGAAATGTAAGAGTTCTTAAATTTGAGCAAATGCAGATGCAGATTATTTATGTAACCCATGTATCTATATACTACATATAATGAATGTCAATATTTAGAATATATGCATAAACATATTAGCACAGATGCTATAGTCTTCATTGAAGTTTCTAGGAATATTGAATTGATATACAACTAGAACTGTCTTCACGCTTGTTTTATTGTCACGTGTGCGTAGCTCTGCTTGCAGACTAGATGGCTCACCTTCCTCTGGAATCCAGAGGTGCCTGGAGTTGCTCTCGCGCCCATATAGGCCCCCTCCGTGGGGCCGTACCTTAAACTCGTACTTGTAACCTCTCTTGAGTGGGCCAATCACAGCGCTGGTCTCCAGAGCCACCCTCTTCTCCACCCAATCAGAGCTGGCCGGCAGAAGGGGGCGGTACAGGACCCCGTAGCCATCCAAGTAGTGAGGCTGTGGTGGAGTTAGTTGCGCCTGTACAGAAAGCATGGGGACATCACAGATCAAACAGCTTCCAGGAGACGGTTCATTCTCGGGAGTATTTTCACGAGAGCCAACACTGAAATCGGATATGTTTGTGGATATCCAAATCGAGATGATCCGCAGGCTGCCGATGTTGATGCCTTCTGGGTGAAAAAAACACATCTGAAGACAACACTTGCTATTTGTGCGGAAACGACGCGGGTCCTGCCGATATGCAAGAATCTCCGGGACGTATTTTTCTTTTCCCTAAAAGAGAGTCGCTCATACTTCATGGAACGCGTGACCATGCAGTCAAACAGAAAAGAAACCAAACGCTTCATCTGTCTGGCGCGAATGCTTCCTCACCTTCCAGTACAGCAGCACCATATTGGAGGAGGCGGGCTGCACAGCGACGCTCTCCAGATCCACTCGCACGCTGGACAGCTCTCTGTGCAGCTCCTTCTGCCCTGTGTCCAGTGCTTCTGCAATGCACAAGAGGCATGAGCGTCCAAGACAAAGCGGAACAAATGATCAACGTTGAACTGATAATCGAAGTATCCTGAAACATTTCAAAATATGAGATTAGCTATCAAACATATTGAACATGAACATGAAAGAACCTTGTACCTTCAGGAAGGAATATGGATTGGTTTCTTATTTCTTATTGTTCAAGCAGTCATTGAGAAGAAAGCAGTGCCCTTGAAGTGCAATTCTGTAAAATGCTTTTAAACTGTAAAAAAGTCTGAAACTGTGTGCTGAAAAGGCAGCCCAATCACATATTTGTAACAACACCCTTGCCCCTTTGAATTTCAACCAATCATTGTGCCACGCAGCAGTGATTCTTTAAGATGAATCTTGATGTTTTCGTTTTTGTGCTTTAAAACACTTGCAGAATATTTTCTTCTTATTGCAAGTAGCAAGAATAAGAAACAACTGTATGAGCGATGTAGCACATTCAGTAGCATAGCAGCAACTATTACCGATATGATTGCTCACCCTGCACTGAGAGAACAGCACTGCTGGACGAGGAGCCCACTTCATTGGCCGCAATGCAAGTGTATCTCCCAGCATCCTGAGCTGTGACGTAGTGGATCTGTAGGCTGTGATCTGAATTCACCACATACCTGCGGACAGAACGGTGTGGGGGTTAGCTGCAGTTCACACCTGACACCCGTTGAGTGATGGGAGCGTGTTCAAATTTCACATTTGGTGAACCAGCCCCCCACTCACATTAGTCTTCTACTGAGCTAGGATTTAGACACTAGCGCAAGATCAGGGCTGATCAGCTACAGTGTGTCCACCAATAATTCTGAATTCAGACTCACTTTATTTGTCTGCACGTTGCACATACAAGACATTTGATCTGGTGTCTTGGTGCAAAAACATAGACGTACACTTCACACTGAGAACATGCACAGGCCAACAGTTATATACACACTTCATCCTCCATTCTTGTGTTCTGGTTCATGGATACGAAGCTGTTTTGATCGACTGGCACCTGAGCCGAATTTTTTAAACGGGTGATGTCCCAGATGGTACAGGAGTGTCACCAAATATCTTTTCCGCGAACGGTAATTAAACTCTTTGAATGTTTTTTTTTCAATTCAAAAGCTGTTGGACTTTTCAATGTCCTCTAGAAATTCATAAACGTCCTCAAAACTATTTCCAGTCAGTAGCACTAACAGCTTTTTTGGGTGACAATATAATTTCAAAACTTAAAATGAGAAGAATGTGAGCTTGTTTAAGAAAATAAAAATTTAGTCTCTCTAAAGGCTCGTTTAGGCTTTGCTCTTGATGGACCCACTCTAGAGTAAAACCGTAACACTTCCTTATGGACTCAAACAAGGAACGAAACACAAACTCAAAGCCAGCAGACTAGTGCCTCTGGCCAGGCTCAGGGAAAGCCCCACGGTAATGTTCAGGACACTCGTAACTCCTCAAAGGAAAATCATACCTCCCGTAGGGCAGCAGCCCCTGGTCACGGCTCCAATGAACAGCAGGCATCGGGTCTCCCTGCACTCTGCAGGTGAACTGCACTGAGCCACCCACCATTGCAGTGACATCCTGGGGCTTCTGGGTGAATATTGGCCTCTCTGCAACGGACAGAATTTTCAAAACAACTGTTGCTTTTCACTTCCCACAAAATGTTTTTTTTTGTTTTTTATAGACAGCATATGTGTATTCCGTTACCATCTTCTGAATGTGTACAAGTCTGATTTATCTATAGATTCAATCAGGAGTTCAATACAGTTAAATCCAAACTCCACACATACAGAAAGCGCCCCAGGGCCCCAGCACTGCAAGGCAGCAATGGTAACCAGTGCACCACCATGCTGCCCAGGGATAAGACCCGTGTCCAGGAAATATTTAAAGATAAAGCAAAAGCCATATTCAAAATACAAACAAGTAAAGTCTAAAATGTTTCTCTTAACACAGTCATTCACATTAGCATCAGCGATACAGCTCTCTGAAGGATGACTCTCCTTACCCAAAACCGTCAGACGTCCAGCTCTGCTCTCTCGTACCCCAACTGTGTTGGTTGCCACACAGATATAGACGCCCGAGTCGTTCTTCTGGGCATGAGGAATAACCAGCCTCCCATTCAGAATCTGATTTGAAAACAAATCAAAATGGTCACAAAGACATACGGATAGTTTTTGTTTTAGATAGTCCTTTTTAAATTTGCACCTACCCAGATTGGAATCGCAAATGAGTTTACTACTGCTGATGAGCAGTGAGAGAGGAAGAGCAGATATCAGCTTTACGGGTAATGGGGATCCCCTCCACCACCACCAGTGTGCAGCCCCACCTGGATGATGTGACGGCAGCTAGAGTGCACAATGTACTCTCCCCCTGCTCCCCACATATCAGTGGGGAGGAGAACAGAGTATTGAAGCCAGTTCAGTGATTGGATTATTAAGAGGCCATTGGTAAAGGCCAGGGGAAACTTGGCCAAGACACCAGGGCCTGGGTTTTACACCTGGGATGGCTCATAGTGAAAGAGGTTTCTTTGGGATAATCTGTGGTTCTGGCACTGCATGCGGGGCATTTTTTTAACTCACACTGTAGCGCTCATCCATCCTGTCGATGAGCGTCCCATCCTTCTTCCAGGTGACATTGGGCTCAGGGTGCCCTCTGGGCGGGGTGCAGTTCAAGACCGCTGGCTCGCCCACTGCCACCTCCACATCGCTGGGCTGGGTGCGAAACTCCTCCCTTAGGGCTGCCACACAGATAAGAAGGCTGAGTTTGCATTTGATTCCACACCCAAATCCACTGACCTCTGGATAGTATGGGGAGCTGTCTACTCTACATATCCATTATAATCAGAATGCTTCATTTGCTCACTGGGCATCTCAGAAATCACTTTCAAGAAACAATGCTTCTCTTTCACAAGCATAAGGAGTATGTATAACTTTCTATATTTTATTTATTTAAAATTTAATCAAAATTCAGAAACCTCCATCCTTGGAAACCTGCTGATAGTTAATGGGCCTTAAACTGAATGAGCCAACAGCCTGCTTTGTTATTCCATTATTTGCGAGAGACAAACAGGAAGGGACAGAATAATGTGTACCCAATCTGAAATCCTATTTGAAGCTTACAGCTTCATGTTCTGAGGCGTTTCCTGCTATTCTGTTTTTAAGGAGAGTTCCATAAACACTGACTTCCTTTTGGAATAATGTGAAGGGTGAGCTGCTACAGTGGAGCAAATATAGCAAGTCCCACACACTTCAAGCCATTTCCAGTCACACTTGTCGTTAATATCGAAAACGCCACAATAGAAAAAAATGTTATTGTTAAAAAGAAATCATTATTTTCTCAGAACAGGAAAAAGCACCCTATAGTGTTAAGTGTATTTATTACATAAATATGAAACAGAACACATTACAAACTTTTGTTTAATGTGTTATTGTTGTACAGGCAGATTTGTTTTTTATTGGGTGGGAAACAGGGAAAATAAACAATGACCTCTGTTTAAATGTTTGTGTGCTTGCTTATTCTCTTTTCAATATTCAATACTGCTTCATCAACAGAGCCAGTTAATCATTTTGAAACATGCTAACCATGGAATATAATTATATTTCTTAATCAGAATGAGCGGTATGTGCGTCAAAGACTAAATGCCCTAAAGTATTGTGAATTAAATCTAATGGAGGTCCTGATGATATCTTTTTAAAGAGTGACGAGGTTTTTAGGTGTTGTAGGAAGGAGATGTTTCAAGATCCTGAGTCTTTCAAGCCCAGCTGGACACATGACATCATACTGCTGCCTTTTGTGTCAGCTCTGTCAACACCACTGCTTTCCCTCTGCTTTCAAAGGCTCTGGCACTGCAATCCAAATCTCAGAAACAACACTTCAAGGACTTCTTAATCAAAACTAATGAGCTCCAATGTCCACCAGACCGCTGACACAATGTTAATCATTTTATGTGCTTGCCAAACAAACCGTTAGCAAACACTGATATCTTATCTTTATCTCTGGATTCTTCCAAACAAAACCTGAGTCTCTAAGTGGCGGCAATTCCCAGTCTTAAGCTTAAAGGTCTTTATTGTCTTCAGGACAATCAGAACTTCTGACCTGTGAAACCGCTGTTTCATTGCCTTTGTAAAAGACCCTCAATGTTTAATTTCCAATTTTACAAGAACCAACCCGCTGCTATTTATTTAAAAGTGTCCTTGAATAGTTATTAGGAAAGCTGTAAAACAAGGCACAGCTCATTTTGATAGAGCTGTAGAATCGCCAGGGAGATTCCCAGCAGGACTAATGTGGACTTGAAAAGCCTAACCATAGCTACCAGTGAGGCCTGAGACTTCTTTGCCTTTCACAACCAGTACGTGAAAAAAGGGGGAAATGAATCCAAAATCTTGTCATCTCTTCCTAGTTGATATTCCTTTAGGTTCCCTTCACTCATGCAGGACTATTAAGGACAAGTGTTCCGCATGAAGTGGAAAAGAGAGCTGATCTCTACTCCGGTGCCCTCTTGCCCGCAGTCCGTGGCACCTCACCTGCGATGTGCAGTGTGGCGTTGCGGCTGGTGGCCAGGCCCAGGCTGTTGCGGGCCACGCAGGCGTAGACGCCCTCATCGGAGTGGCCCCGCCTGCCGGGTGTCACGCGCAGGAAGAACAGGCTCCCGTCTGGGAGAATGATGGGATGCGACTGGCCAGCCGGCCTGCTGGTCTCCACCGGCACCCCGTTGCGGTACCACTCGATGGTGGGCTCTGGGTGCCCCTCTGCGCGGCAGGACAGGGAGGCTGGGCTGTCCACCTGGACAACCACGTCCGAGGGGTGGTGGACGATCTGGGGCACCGTGTCCTCAGAATGTAGCCTGGAGCCTGTCGAGAGAGCACACCATGGGCAAACTGTCAGACTACAGCATTCACTATTCTTTTACATCATTTCCAATCCAACAAAACACATGGTATAAGGGCCTACAGCCACTTAGTAACTTCTTCCTCAGTTATAGCATTTTAAGGAAAGCGTATATTTATAATGTCGGATCACGGTTTTCTTATAATTATATTTAATCATAAGCTGCATTTAAACAGTGTTCTCAAAGATGCAGAACTTTTTTGACTTACAAACCCAAACTGGTTGTCTCCCAAAGAAGGCTGTTCCAGTTGATTTTTTTCAATACTTAGTTTCAGTATAAAAATATCTTTGATTTTATTGCCAAATATTGAACTCTAAAGGGGTACATACTGTATGTACAGAAAGAAAACCATTCAGATGCATTAATGAAACTGAAACATACTGGACTTCTTTTGATTAGAAACACAAACCGTTATTTTTACAGTGATTTGACAGGCTAAATGAGGCCTAACTGTAGTCAATTGTCTGAAGTTCTTTAGACCTGTATGTTTTCTGGTGTTGCCAAGGAAATATCAGTAAGGGTATGTTTAGGTTTATAATTCCTAAGATTATTTTTTTTCACATTTTATTTAAAACATGTTTTGCAATATGAAATTGTCATTTACAATGGGTTACAAAATTATAAAGCATCACTTCAACATGCTAAAACTTAAAATACGGCAAAACAAATAACCAATATGGGAAGCTTATAAATATAGAGAAGCAGTGTAATCACAAAGAAGATATCAGGGAAAGGGCTGACTCATTTAATCTGTCTTGTGTACAGGGATTTGATGCTTGACTAGCAAATTTACTGTTCCATTGAGACAATTGGATAGATATTGAGATTTTAAAATGAAGTACCTCTTAAAAGTAAGACAATGTTAAATTAAATCAAGCCCAATACATATTCCATTCAAATGAATTACCTTCACCAATACGAAATAATGACCACACGTGTACAGTATGCTGTCCTTTATTATTCTTAAGATCATGCACATGCTGTCTGAAAGCTTGAAGCCATCCTTATCTAGATAACAGACCAGTCCTGCTTCCTGAGGGATAATCGACGAGACGAAAGTGAAACAGTTCTCAGTTGGATAAATGCTCAGATTTACATGATGGTTATTGATGGTTTCCATTTAAACAGCATTTGGGACGAGATCAATCAGTCAAATGACCATTTCGAAGAAGCCAAGGACTTTGTCTGGACCTGCTGTGTGGCAAAGGTATTGGAAAAGATACTGGACCAGAAGCATTCGAGCTGATCCGACTCTCCAAACCAACATTATGGTCTTGATTGTCAGCAAGGGGGAGTTGTGGAGACAGAGATAAGGAAAGAGAAGGAGGCAAAGACAAAGGGGAGGAACCTCCTTCACAGATAAGGGGCCATTCTTTTCTTTACTGATTGTCATGTCGTGAAGACCAGCTTTGTTACAGGCATTTACCAACCTGCAACATGTTTCATTCAAGTCTCTTATTCATGACAGGACAAAGAGGGATGGGGGGCTTCACGACAAATGAGCACGGCTTCACAAGGTTGGAAGCTGCCAGACTGCCCATCTTACCAACACGACACAGAGGAAAAGAGAAGCACAAAGACATTGAACAACTGCAACACTGGCAAGCCCTCAATACACACGAAGTAATAATGTTTTGAAAGCAGAACGTTGCCCGAACAGGATTGCACATCAATTAAGGCAGCAGAATAACAGTTCAGGTCTTTGGAATTCTTAATTGTCTTTCAATTTCTTTGCAATTCAAAGCCAGTGTTTGCATTGTAACAGTGAACCATACGGGAGAGAAAGGGTGGGGCAGTTATCCTTCCTGCCGCGGCCGGATATGTGGCAAAAGAAGGCTTCTTCCAACAAACATGGAACAAAGACCCCCTCTACACAAACACAAGCAGAAGCTAACAGGAAACCCGTCACCTGTGCACTGAGCAGGGGAAGTGACCCGTCTCTGACTGGAACCACCACCATGTTCTCATTGTCAGCCGGTGTCAAATCACGCCACTCATGCGTATAACTGGGATACATGTGGAACAAGGATGCACCACTGATGCAGCTTAGAACTGTGCGATACCGGGGGGAAAAAATCAATTTTAGCTTCTCTCAGAGCTCAGGATAATCTCTGCTCTATTGTACTGTGACCAACACTGATTGATTTGTCCTTGTTACAATGCTGCTACAAGTGTTTCCAAAATTGCAGCTGTTACAAAATATTTCACTGAAGGTGCGTCATTGCTATGGCATAAAAGCAGTTTCCTCTGTTTATGTACTCAAGGTCTCAAAGTGTTGGTGTGTATACTGTATAAAACTGCAATAGTGTTTTTTATGTACGTTTTAAAGGATATTTTTTTAAACGTTAATAAACATTGCTTTTTGTGTGCAGACACCGTTTTTACCTATAAACTCCCAACTTTCAAAAGAAATAACATAGGAATTAGGAAAAAAACTGTTTTAGTAAACCTGAATTGGGTCATTTGATCTGTTTTTCTATATTAAACATGTCATTAATTCACTTGCTTAACCTTTAAATATATTTCAATCGAGTTAGTCACGTAAATCAAACTCTTAAACCCAGTCTCTGACCTAGTTATTTATTGCCTATTTTATATCCATGCTGAAAATGTAGTTTTAAAAGAGATTTGTGTGATATTCCTGTCTTCTAGAATCAGTGCTTGAAACTAAATGGGAAACAGAATACTTTTATATTAGTAGTGCCTTGTTCTGAATAGGTGGCACAGCATTGGGCAGCTATTTTGAAGAGGATTAGTATCTGCACTATTGACACATAATCTCCAATCTATTCTTTGAAATTTGTATAATTACAGAAGGCAAGTTCATCCACAAGCATCATTAAGCATAATACAGAACTCAGAGGAGTGTAGAATAAGCACATAGGAAATGTCCTTAACAAACCTCTTTTAAATATGGCATATTTAAATATTTGAACGGTTTCTTCCACAATATCCTGGTATTTTTTGTTTGTATGAAACTTTACATCTGCTTGAACTCCTATTCTGATTGTCACGCATCCTGTCCAAGCAGATCTTAGCGCATTAAAATCTGTTTCCACGTTAAGGGTAGGGGCTCCTCCAGTCGTGTGGTGCTGCTATGGTTTTCGTTGACATCTGCCTGCAAGAGGTCATCTATTAATTCCCCACCTCATTCCAAGACTTTAAACAGCAGGTGGCACTCCGTCTGAGTCGCAGTAAAGTGCCACTGAAAATACAAGCTGTAATACCGATAGTAGAAACAGCTTACCACAACTCTACAGTCTATAGAGTTGTCTTACTTTTAAGAGGTACTTCTACAGTTTGAAAAGTAGCACAAAAACGATTCAAAATCTTTTCAAGAGCAACATATATCAAAGGAGAAGCTTTCCCTCAGTTTTGTATCCTGCAAACTGATAAACTAAATTTTATAGGCAGGATAAATCGACGCCGAAAAATGCTAAATATTGTTTGGACTGCTCAGGGTATGCAAATATGCTAAGGAAATGTTCTCTTATCAAGAGGTTTTAAAAGTCATTAGCAGTAAGTACGACACCCAGGCTTCCCAAGGGATATGAAAACTCCGGTTACCCCTAGAGGAAATCTTGCACAAAACCTACAAAACCATATGCTTGCAGGAAGAGGTCTTTATCTAATGTTGTACATTGCCGAAACAATAACAGGATATGAATCGCTGAAAATGAATGCCTGAAACGCTTTAGACACCATTAATGATAGCACTAAACATAAACACGTACTAATCATAGGTCACTACAGCTGCATATAGGCATCACTGTATATCAATGACTGGTTCAACGTTTAATCACTTAAAAACCTAGTGTGTTAAAAATAATATCTAAAATACTGTCATAATATACTATACTCATGCACAACCCATACATTTAAGCAGATTCCCGCTTTTTCAAATATGTATACCCACGTACAGTATATCAATTTAGTTCACAGTCATTAAAGACTCAATTATTCTGTGCGTTCGTTTCGGCATTGTTTAATTAGAGTCAATATAATGTAATTTCAGAAGAAAGCAGGAGCAGAAACGGTTAACGCTGAGAGTCTTATAACTTTGTTTCATACAAAGTGATTCACTGACTTTTTTCCCCCTCCACGAATAACTGTATTGCATAGATTTATGTATTTAGGACTTCTGATTTAAAAGCATCTTAACCCTAGACAAAATCCTATCATGTAAAAATTGAACCATTTGTTTTGTGTGCAATATGCAATTACAGTATATGACAATGACTGGCTGTGCTTTGCTAGGAAATGCATACCGTACTCACTGGCCGACAATAACTTCACACATTACTTTATAGCAACAGGTCGGTAAACAATCCCTGAATAAAAACAATCTGTTCCCCTAGAAACGTTCTTATTTGTAAATGTTAACAAGAATGACGATTATATCAGTAAATAAGAAAGAACAATAAACAGAAATTCCTACCTTGAAGGTTTTCATGCATTGCCCACATTACACACAACTGTACGATAACGTATCCTGCCATTATTGAGGCAACTCGCAGACTGTATTTAGGAGCTTTGAAAAATCAAAATAAAAAAGCAAAAGTTCACTTGATCACATTAGGAATGAGCTCATCTGTTGCCATTCAAAGAGTTAAGGAATTAATGCCTATTGCCTGATAACTCATATAAGTTACTAGAGCGACGTTCTACACACAAGTGAGTAACTGAGGTCGGATACTTGGCAGGAAAAAAGCAGCACTTCTTTATTTCTGACCTTCGCTATGTTTATTGTTTTTTTATGTTCTTTAAACTTTTTTTTTTTAACCCCCTGTATTAAAGCCTGGTGATCTACGACTCGCATGCCCAGTCCCTCCCCTCTCGCATAATGAAAAAGTCGCACTTAATTTATGGAGCGCTCGTAGTATTTCAGAGAAGCAGCATTCAGAATCTGGACCCTCCCCACCCCACCTCCCTCCCTCCGCGCTTCCTTTCCGCCAGTTTGTGGCTGTATGAAGCAGTGTAACTGTATTTTAACTTTTAACAGTGACCTCTTCCTATCCTCTTCAGTACCCTATACCGATTCTTCAAAAATGCCAGGAAAACGGGGGAAAAGAAACGTATTTGTTTTGTTTAGAGAGAACACCAACATCCAAGATGATGTGTCTTCTCTGAGAGTCTCCTGAGGTTGTACCTAGTCCATCAATGAAACATTAAGGGCCAGTCGGGTGACCTAGCTTGTTGATCCAAGCTATAAATTCTAAGCCTCAAGAGAAACAACCTATTCACCGCTCTCGGAGCTCAATGGTTCTGTTCTAATTCTTCTATTTTACGTGTCATTGGCTTTTAAGGTGTATTTTCCTTCTAGTTTATCATTTGCTTTGTAACGTTAAAATCTAAACGTATCTTTCCTTTTCATTGTATATATATCATGAGCTGCATAACCAGAGAAGATCAATAAAATAGCTGGCGGTTTTGATGTACAGCAATGATAGTCAACTCTCCCAGTATAATTAACTACATTACAGTGGGAGACACCCAATTCTGGGGACCAAGACCAATCCAACCAGCCTGCTACCAGGTTCCCAAGTTCCTGGGAGACAGGACACTTCAGCCTGACCAGCCAAGGAAGAAGTGATGCGAATCTGGAAAGCTTGCTCCCAAAGAAGAAGGCTTGTAGACCCCAAAGTGGGAATCCCTGTGGCTGGATTCAGGATACTGTAGTTCCACTGCCAGGAGCTGGAGTCAGCACTGACCCCTGGGAACTGGGAACTGGAAGCCCATTGGATCCACTTCCAAGCCTCTGGCTTTTTATCATCCAAGATCGGAGTAGCATGAGAACAGTCACCATCCGGGAACTGAAATAAACCCCAAAGGGTTTTTTCCGCACATGCAGTAGATTAGCTACAAATCACAAAGGTGTCAGTAAGAGGTCCAGTCAGCCACTGCTCTGTAGACCTCTATGCTGAAGATGAAGCTGATGGACATTAACCCCGATGGTGTAGACCCAAGGGAATACAGCATACTGATGGTGGTTAACACAGGGTTGCATAAAACTGTCGGAGACTGACCTGAGTAGGCAACCAACAACCAAAATGTCCGGTAAAAGAAAACAGTGTATTGTTCATTTTGGCATAAAACAATGCTGGTTACTACCATTATCACACGAAGGCAATATGCACGAAAGCTGTAAGGATACAAATATGACCAGACCTGTGAACACAAGGGTAGAAATACAGAGCTTTTTGTTTTCACTCCTTTCTACCTGCACCTGCTGGTGGGCTCTGGAATTGTAATCCAGTTATGACAGCAACAGATGAAGAAATCTGTGTTAACCACTGTCCATACTTGTATTCGGGCAATAAGCTATACCAATGACAGACCAACAAATGGATGAAATATAAACAAATATTATACCCAATACTTGGTGGTTTCCTAAGCAGTCTATTCCTTCTACCCCAAATAAAACTATAGCAAGCAATGTGTTTGTAGTTTCTGAAGAACGATAGGGGGAAAAAAAGTATTGAGTCTGTTTTGGTCAAATTCTGATGATTATTTTAATCATATGACCCCTGGAAGCTGTTAAAATCCAGCAATGCCCCAAATGTAGCCAGGACTTCATGACTGTACCAATTTTTTGGATTCTCATTTTAAATCTCCTTTTGGAGTGGGCTCTCCAAAAGCTACATTTAAGCATACAACAGACAGTTCGTGCCCCTCGTCTCTTATCCGTGTCTAAGTGTGTAAGTGTGACTCATTACACAGAGGAAGCAACCTTGTAAGAAGACACAGGGGATCATGGGAGAAGAAAAAAACACTGGAAGCTGGGTGTTGCATCCTAATTATTCCTGTGTCTGCAGGAGCATGGTTTGCAGAGAGAGAGGGTGAGAATAAAGCACCTCTGCCAGTAGTTCATTTTGTTAAAAAGGACAGAAATAAAGTGCTGTTTAGTGAACTGTCTATTGTGCCCCTGAGAAAGAGCCAGCCCCAGTGACGGATGCTAATATTGATCCAACAACTTGGGGTAGATTGCTTCAACATCGACAAGCTTTCAGTGAGCAACAAAAGGCCCAGAGGTGCTGAAGGATAGGTCCCCTAACACAGCACACAAAAATGAACGAGGGAAGGGGGTGGGGGGGAGAGAGGGTCATTACAATTTAAAATCAGCTTCTTTCAAGTTCCTGGAGTTGGCGCTTGGAAGGGGGAGTGTGTGGGAAGAGGGCAAACGTGTTGATTTTGGGGCTGCGACAATGGGAGAAGAGCGGCTCGAGAGCTGCGGAATGTGAGGGATCGTGCGGTAGAGGTGTTCAGGCGTCTGCTGGGACAGTAAGACAAAGGGGGCAAAAAAACAGATCCCAGGCAAGCAAGGAACGGCCACAGGCGAACCAAAATCCAGCAAACAGAGTTGGATTGTAAAAATCATGTGGGGAATCCGACACGTAGGAAACTGAAATTGTTCCACGGGCGGTGAAGATTAAGTGGAAATTAAAACATCCACAGATGTTTCGTGCTAACATTGCTATGGGACTCTAGGATAGCTCGATTGTCTTCTGTTCTAAGTATAGGTATGTGGTGTCTGTGTGTGTGTGAGCGTGTGTGTATTAATTTCATTTTTTGGGGGGGGGAAGAGACGGCAGAGGAAACAGACGGGGAGCTCTGGAGTACAAGCATTGTATTCCATGTTTGGCACCATTTTAAATGGAAAGATTAAAACAATATATCAGTATATTAAAATATACAAGGTTGAATTATTTCCCAAATTGGCAAAACTACAATCCGCTTTAGAATCTTCTGCTAAACTTCAGGGCACAAATGTAGCGACTGAGAATTAGTTATAAAAGCACTAAACACATTAGTCACAATCAAATGTTGCATTGCACGAGAGAAAGGCCCTTAACACAGTAGCACTAGAGATCACTATTATTTAGATATTTGAGACTAGAGGCTTTGGATTAAAGTTGAGGATTAGGGTGATGGGCTACAGGGTTAAGGTCAAGATTCATCAGAAAGTTCAATCAATCTATAAAATGCTCATTCTTGTATCTACAGAAATTCAAACACCAGAGGACTGTCAGATCAAGTATTACTGTATGTCAGTATCAACAGGTACCATGAAACTAACTGGATTTAAAACATTATACATTAACGTTAACAGCAATTGGTATTGACTGACAGGATAAAAAGAAGGTAAATTCAAAAGGAAATGGAGGAAATAGATTTCTGGATAGAGGAAATGCACAAAAGATGCTACAAATAAAGACAAAAAATAAAATGACCATATAAGCATAAAATACAGATATATTAATTAATCTCTGTGCTTGCTGTTTTGTGGCTCATTCCCTGATGCAGCTCTCTATTTGAATATAATTGGACCATGTACGTACTACAGCTCTTTCCTGTGCTTCTGAGGTTGAAATAGATTTTCTCAGTCAAATAAACAATATTTCCCATGTCATTCAAGTTTGTTTTTTAAATAGTAGCCTACACTTTAATGTGTGCGCAGACAAACTACCTAAAACAATATTGATCCTCAAACATGTTTGTAGGTGGCTTACTAAATGGTCATTAATTGCAGTTGCTGGAAGATGATCAAGTGTACTTGCCATGTTTCAAGAAAATATTTGGAAGTAAATGGTAAACTGCTTTAAAAGATCACAGTAGGTGCCAGAAGAGTTATTGTTCACTCTTCACCTTGATTCTACATAAAAATAATGATGTAAACAATTCTTACATCTTTTAGTGAGTGTGGCCAAGTATAATGAAGAAAGAAGTTGTATTTTCAACCTGATTCTCTCTCTCTCTCTCCCTCTAGACAATTCAAAATGCTTTATCTTAAAATATGAAACAATCGTTCTTGAACCCTTAGTTCTGAGACTGAATTAAGGAGCATGACTACAGTGACACAGATATTTTTTATTAGAGCAAAGTTGGAAGATGCCTCTGGGGTCTTGTACATCTAGCCATCTAATTTATCTACTTGATAAAGCATTAAGTTGACCATCTATCAGTCCGAATGGGACATTCACCACTTCAGTTAAAAGTAAGGACTAAGAGACTAAAACTTCCTTTTATTCAAGATCGAAGTTGGCAAATGTCAACTAAGGCAAATCTGTAAAACAAAAAAAAAATGATTATGCCTGTTATTAGTTTGTATGATTTATAGATGACTGTTCTTTGTCATTTGGGTAAGGGCTGAGAGAAAGTTAAAAGCAGAGAAATACCAACCAACCAGTCCGTTTGGAAAATAACGGATAGTGCCTGCTATCACTTACTAAATGCCCCAGTGATGTCTGAGCCTTGAAACGCAAACGGTTTGTAAACCTGATGGAAGTGAAGAACGGAGGACGCATAGCCAAGCATCAGATCTGTTTCTCTGATTTGGTTCCTGGTGTCGGAACAAGTTGAGCCAGAACAGTGGTCACAACCCGCGATTATGTTGGAACAAGGATGCTCACAGTGACTGCTGGGTTGCGACACCCCTGTTCTTAGGACCGCCAACCAGTTGACGTCCCAGATGGATCCACGAGTGGCCAAGTGCTGAGCCGTGCTCTGTACTCACCTTTCCTCCCGTGAGCCCTCAGGCGTGAGCGGAGAAAAGGCTGGGCCGGGCGCTGTCTAAGGCGCTCCCTGTCCTGCGTCCTGGATCCTCTGGCCGGCGCCAGCTGGGGGAGACAGGTGCACTGGCATTGACACTGCCTAGAGCTCTCTGCCCAGGTACAGAGAGACGTCACCCAGACCAACAGCACGCCAATGTGCATCTTCAGCTACCTCTCTAGTGCTCTGCCGGGCTTCACTGCTTCTGCAAGCATTCCATCAACTTCCCAAAGACTTCGAACCTTAGAAGCAACGCCAAGCGCCCGTTCACTGACAACTCTTGTCCCTCCCTGTGCTAAATTATTTGG